AAGATGCAGGACCTATTAACCATCGAAGGTTAGTGTCCCTTCATGTTCCCCTGGTCTCTTAAGATATTAAATGAGACCCTATGTGCCACTCCTAACCCTGAGCCTATGCCAACAGCCTCTGGCGAAATCATTTAAGAAGCCGGTCAGCGAGTCGGAGATTCGTGGATGGTGTTTTCTCAAGGTCTCGATAAGCAAGATGTCACTATGAAGCTTCTCCACGATAGCCGTTGCCTGCTGAAACAGCTTTATTTGGATAACTGGGTGGAGTAGGCCATAGGAAAGGCTTCTGTATCCCTTGCTGTTTTCCAGGCCTATTATAAGAAACTCAGCTTTTCTCTTTATAACTTCTTGGCCCATTTCCCCTTCGAAGCTAGAAAATATAGGGCGATCTCAGAGGTACGTTATATCGCAAACAAAAATCGAGAGCCATTTTTAATAGAGAGTAGATCATGAAGAGCAATAACTGCTTCTTGTATTAAGCACTCGCATATACTATCACTCTCCACGAGAGAGGGGGGTAGTTCGAACCGCTCCAGATAGATGTAAAGTTTATTATCGATCCACTAGAGAGACTGCTTTCGGCGCCCGACCGTAATATTCTTCTTAAACTCACGGTGCTCAAATCTTGGTACTAACGCTATTAGATAAGCCCCGATATGGTCTAAGGGCGGGTCTTTAGCGTCGAGATAGGCTTTATGGATCTCCTTATTAGCCACTTAGCTATAGTAGTCGCCTTGTAACTGAGTAGAAAGGCGCTAGCGCGATTTTATTATATTTATCTCGATAGTATTCGCACCTATGATTAGCATCTTTAACTGCTGGGCGCTAGGTGGAATGAGCTATGCTATGATGCGGAAGAGGTTATAGTGGTTAGCGACCTGGGCGGGAAATTGGAAGAAGTAGTAAAGGTACAATGAAAAGCTGATTGTTCGCCTATCGTTACTGACGTTAGAATAGGAATTGCTTTACTACCGAAATTTCTATAGCTTGTGCGCTATTCTTTGTGGGATATCGTCGGCGGGTGCCTAGATCCCGATCGTATTTGCGGGGTTTGTTGACTGCGATACGAATTATCGGCTATATAGAACAAAACTATATATAGAGCCATCGCTTCCGTTTCTTTATCCTCTTATTACTGATTATAAGAGGGGAAATAACGCGGTGCTCCTAAAGATCTTTAGCTTCCTGACGTACGGTCAATGCCTTAGCCGAGCTTTTAAGACTAAGGCGGTAAGAGGATAACTGGGCCCGCCTTTATGGTTTAGATGGGGTGTTGGAAGGGGTAGAAGAGTAAGAATAATCGAGAAAGTAAGAAAAGATGAAATGCATGTTTGAATCTGAGGTCTCCACCTAAAGCGGTACTTGCATCTTAATATAATTTTAGATCTAATTTTCATAACCCTACCAGACAAGCCGTATGCCATGACATGTTTGTTATACTGCCGTGTTGATATAGCCCACGGGAAGCTAAGTTGTATTCTAATGTAGTTATGCGAGCTCTCTTTGAAAACAACTATATATGCAAATATAGTTAAATCCTTAGTGGAAACTAGATACCAACCACTCTGATTGTTCAGATAGACATTAATTTGCCTCCTAATCCTAGAAGAAAATTATTATGTTCGGAATAAAAATCTGATTTAGACTTTGAGGAGGCCTTAGTAGCTGGTTCCCAGAGATGATCAGGAATGAAGCGAACACATCCTGTATTGCTTAAGAGTAATGAATGATATTATGTATGTTTATAATCAAGATTAACGTAGCCCTAAACGTATTGTTTTCCTATAGCATATGATTAGATAGATCATGCAGGTTTCTATGTTAAGTTCTAGTAATCTTAAAAAATATTCATCTCTTGAGGCATATGAAACGAGGATAGTTGAGGGACTTCTTGTTCTAGCCACCGCTTAGCTTCACTGAGCTGAGGTGTAAAGTCTATCCGTATTCTCTTTTGGCTTCTTTGTTCTGTAGTGGAAGAATGGTATGTGATAAATGAATCTGCTGCCGTGAATTTAGCGTGTAGCCTGGTAGACGGGTTCTGGATATAGTGCGCGTAGTATGCGCTTGGCTTAATTAATCGTCTATTTTCTCCGTTTTCCTCTAGGATATAAATATAAAAATGATGGCTAGATAGTCCCTTGAGAAAGGGATTTAATGCCGCCGGGTTATTAGGTAGCCTTAACGTTTGCCTATTCCTGGGTAAAGATATATCTATTATAAAATAGGCCGCTTGAAAATCGGCCACAGGAGCCGCACGTAGAATGAGGTCGGGATCAAACATTTGACGGGATGGTGGAGGTAGTGCTACGTCTATAGTGTTCCCCGGTATGACGAAATTTGCTTGCGAAGATGAATTTATGTTCATACCCCTAGTTTCCTCCCGGCCAGAGGCCCCACCGTCTATATCGTCGGTATTGCTAGTATATGGGCGGCCGTCGCTGTTTTTTGTGAGATAACGAAAAAAGGCTAGGAAGATAGATCTTTGGACGAACCCCGCTATTACTCGCGGCGTTGTCTATTCTTGCTGTAACGACTTTATGGCTAGGGTATATCGATCCGCTTTCACTAAGTTTGAAAATGGCTTTCCGTACCTCTGTGTAGTTTGGATCTCCTCTGAACTATCCTCCGGGAAGTCGCATAGAGCTGGTAAAGGGAGATGGTGGGGATCCGTTGGTAACTCTCCCTTAAATGGCACTTTGAATCCTCTTGCCCTCGTAATGCTATAGTAATATTGCCAAAGAGCGGTTAGATCTAGGGTCGGGGGTCTCTAGGAAAAGGTTGGATGGGATGGCTATTGGGTAGCGGCTTTCGTTCGCGGTATATAGCGTTGATGCTCGGTTATCTTAAAGCTGTATTGGAAGCTAAACCGCTAAAGTTCCTATAGGTCCGACTTGAGCATTTCCTGCTAATGTGCTATCGATATAGGAACCGTTGTATTATATTGCTCGCAGACGCCTTCGTTAATAGTGGTCCTTTGATCTAGATCGGGTGTGAATAGTTGCTGTATTATAGTTTGGCTAACTTTGAGGTATAGTCGGTCCCTAAAGAACGTAGCTAGAGTCGGAATTGGGAAGTCAATTCCCTTTAATTGCTCCTAGATCTTAAGTCGCTGCTTATCTGGAATGCCGCGAAAAAGCTTACTACTTATTATCTGCTTCTCTAAAAATTTAAGGTCCCGCCAGGAAACCTTTGGCGCACGGGATTGAAGTAAATGTACCGTGACCCTATTGATTAGAGGCAGAAGCTCGTGCCTTCCTCTAACTAGCCTAAGGAATATACTTAGGATAAAATCCTAGTAGCATCCGATTGGCTGACGGTACGTCTGAGATTAGTGTGTAAAGTCAGTTTTAGAGTGAAAACACTTACCTTATCATAGCGCATGGCAACCACTTTGTGTAGTAGCCCGATTTATATATCCTCCTAAAGACTGGTGATGATAAGTAGTGAGTCTAGTTTTCGAGGAAGTGTGGGGTGCTTTAAAAATAGCTGTAAGTATTTTCGCTTTTTGCTCCTAGGAACCGTCTCCAGCGCGGCCCACTAATCATTAGCGGCCATTCGATTTGAAACCCCGTTAGGAAGCCCCTCATAGTGATGGATGCGTTCGTATATAAGCCCGTTAGGTGGTCGATTATTATTTAGAAACCGTTCTTTTAGTGCCCGGATAAGCTTTTCCTGTATTGTTCTACCATCGCGACTCTCTTTAATTGAGTTAGATTAGCTGAAATCGGGATTGCTATGGAGGACGATTAGATCAAAGACTAAATAAACGCACCATCTTGCTTAGTGAGATAGACGTCTATAATCCACTACTGACTAGTTAGCCCTAGGATTTTACGGGCGGCGGTAATTAAATTCTCGTGGTCTTAAGCCCGTAGATGGTAATCAAAGTCTATATCTAAGCTAGGAATCAAATCGTCTCCTAGCCGTTACCGCATATAGCGCCCCTAGTTAGCCATAGGAACTAGCACCGGGACGTGGTAGTCCTTCATAAGGCGCTGGCATCCTTATATTTCTATGATGCGTTCTAATCGGCGAACATTCTAATAATTATTTATTCTTTCTCTAAATCTATCTTCAAAGGTGAGATGGGAAAGATGCACACGTGCGGCTAGTTTAAATTAACGTTGACGATATGTAAATAGTTTATCCTCTAAGGCTTCTACTTAGGCCTGGCTGAGGACTATTGTAGTGGGTAAAACGAGAAAGGCGATACCAGAGTCAAAGAATAATTGAGTTTGCGGACCTTGTGCTTTATACCAAAACTGCACCAAGAACTACATTCTATAGCTTTGGCTACTGGATTCTTTCTAGGGTAGCTTTAGTTGTCCTTGATGACTGACGATGGAAAAGTGGCGTCAAAATTCTGTACTTAAGTCAAAGTCTCTATCATTTTTTTGATGCCTAGAGCGACATATCACCGGACGTTGGATGCATCCCTCTAAAAGGTAGCTGATATAGCTTAAACCACGGTGTAAGGTCCTAAACTCATGAATGGTAGTATAGCAGACTCGATATTTAATAGCCGCGGTTTTATACCCCTTTAAACCCATTAACGCACTTACTACTCGGCTCTAGGGATAACACGAGCAACCCTTACAAATAAAATCGAGCTTTTATGCTGTTCCACGTCCCAGTAGTTCTCTTCCTAGATAATCTTATAAGTAGCTTATGCTTTATTTAGAAAATCTACTCTATGATCGATTATTTCCACCATAGTAAGACATAGTAAGACATGGTTATATTCTGCTATAAAATGAGACCGCTTATAGGAAGTAGACTAGACTAGATTATCGTTGTTGGGGCCCTGGCACTATTAATCGCTGTCTTGATATATCTCGTTGTTATCTTTACTGGATATACTTTATCCTCTGCTCCGGCTGATTTGTATTTTATGAAGGTAAGATACGTCCTTTATTTGCCTGATCCCACTAATTAAGAAATAGGTGAACTTGACGGACTTTCCTAATTTAGATGGTTTGTCTATCCGCCGTTTACTTAGCCTTGGTAACCTGGATGGGTCTAGTGTTACCGTAGAAGCGAGTGCTGTTGTGAATAGCGTGGGGCATAGTGCGGGGACTGCTATAGCTAAGGCGTTTGTAGCGGCGAGTACTGTAGCTAGCCATGTTAGCAGCGAATTGGAAGACCTGATAGATAAATTGAAGTCGTATTTGCCCGAGTATTACTCGGTTGGTCTATGGGGCTATTGTAAAGGCCAAAATGGCTTAGTCACGAATTGCTCTGATCTAAGCATAAGTTTCTCTTTTGACTTGGTGAATATATTTGATTCGGTGTCTATAGAGATAAATGATTTCATTCCGGGCCTGAATCAGATAGTTTTTGTAGGTTATCGGGATGTTTCTTAAGTAATCATCTGGCTGTACATTTTGGGTTTTATCTTAACGGTCCTGGTGGTTATCCTTGGCGTGCGAAAGGCGGTCTTTTCCAGGGGGAATAAATTACTGGCGATTTTTGCCACGGTATGCGAACTTGGAAACAACGAATCTAAGAGTCTTATTGACTATTCTAGCTTTCGATGCTCTTGGTTACCACTGCTATAATTGGAATGATAGTCATTTACGGGCTTTGGACTGCTGGAATTAAAAGTGTTTTATAGTCTTTTGGTGCTTTGGCTAGTCTTGGGGGACGTATGTTTGCTATAACATAGTTAGCAGTAACGTTCTCTATCAGTGCGTTTCTCGTATGGCTAATCTAACTCTTCTATTGCTGTATTTAAGGCATCTAGAGAACGAGGTGTACCATGAATGGTAACATGATGTATTGAAATAAAAAACATTTCGCACTAGCTTTCCTTTCCAGCAAGTGGTAGGCTAGAAGAAGCCGTCCAGCGAGTTAGACTTCCCCGATGATATTGACATACTCGCTTATATCTATATTGTACTTAGGTTCACGTCGGCAAAAAATGTTTACTCGGTCGTAGCTTCTATCTAAGGCCTTTTTGTTTCAGACATATTATATCTTTATACTTTGTATAGTAAATGAACAGAATCCATAGCTTGAACCTTTAGCAGAGGAAGTAAAATAGTACATCCCCTACGTCTTGGCTTAGAGTCAAGCAAATAATTGAGGCTGCGAGTCTAGTCTTTTCTTGTTTTAGAGCGATGAATAGTGATTATCTTTTGGCTTGTATCTTCCGCACGGGTTCGAAGATATGATGCGCGGTAAATGATGGATCTACCGGACATAGCTCTTTATAGGCTGACTGGGTATTGTAAGCCTGGTCAGTTAAGGCAAAAACAGCGGTCTGGAGCTCGCATAAGGTGTGGTAGATAGGAGCAAATGCCTCGTTAGAAGAGCTAATGAATGGTGATTGGTGAAGACGACGAAGATCATTGGACGTTTGCTTAGTTAATTCCTGTAGTCGTTTAAGAATAGCGTAGTAAGCCCGAAAGTACACATTCTCGCCCTGCTGCTGGCCAATGTCACGGACGATTTGCGTAATCTCATCTATATCGTGAATTTGAATCAAATGCAGCCTGTGACTGTACTAGACTAGGGAGATAGATATATGAGTGCCATAAGGATAACTGGAGCGATTTCTTGCCTTGATTAGAATAGCGCTAGTTGTAGTTTAACGACGTAAATATATTATTTGTGAGGAAGATACTAATTTAAATGAAATGCCCTATTTGTAGGTTGTGACGGTGTGTCTAGCCTAGCTTAAGAAAATGTATTAGCTCAACGACGCCCCTTTAGTTCTTGAGGAAAATCAATTTTTGTGGCCGGAGGGGATGCTTGTCCCTCTGGACACGACTTGTCTGGCTATAAAAGCCTAACCTAATCTAGACGATAGGCTGTACTAAGAAAAGACCGACGACTTCGACATTCTTATAATGCCTGGCTTCGATAGTCAGAACCGGCGTGATTGTGCTATGGGGGCTATTACTAGCACTTTTGGTCTTTTATACTTCTGCCTCTTTGTGCTATAATTTCTTCTCTTCTATTTCCCCTTATCGTAGGACGCCATTATCGGCGCACTAGTGGTGATCTTTTTTGGTGTAGGTGTCATCCTATGGTGCCTTTCTAGCCTATTCTCTTGTATTTTTGGTATATTCTAGAGCGGAAATAGAGCAGAGTGGTAGAGGATAGAGTTTGGGGGGGGTCTATTCCTTATCTGGACCGTAACTCTGCCTACGATCGTGTTCCTGTTCCTAAACTAACCCTGCCTCTAGCTTGGATATCTGTGTGCCTTTATGGTATTTGTGGTCGGGAATCTACTCGACTTCCTGTTTGGTGATCCCCTGCTATCCGCGTTAAGCATTAAATTCCCATATTATTGCGCGTTACTGGGCCTACTATCGTTAGTGCCGACTATGCATGCGCTAGTAGCGCTAACTTAAAGCGTTTCACTGTTGGTGGTGGAGTTTGGTTAAATAGTCATGGCCAATATTCTTGGTGCTACCCTCTACCTCCTCTAGCCGTTAGAGCGGCTAGTAGTGGTTTAAGGCTGGCGGCCTAGCGTCTATATAATACGCCTTGTTGTTATCTATAGTCTCGTGGTATACTCGAAAGCCGTTATATAGGCCGCACTTAGATATTGAGGCGTGTTCGATTTATTAAATACCAGCATGGATAGGTCGCGCTACTTGCGCGCCGCGGTAGCAGTAGATTGGAATGCTGGTCGATCACGGTCTATATGTGGTATTTTATGTATATAGTATTCTATTGTGAAAGTGACTTTTCTTCAATATCCACCTAATTATTGGCCTAGGCTTTAGTTAAATCTCATCTATCACTACTACGCCTAATCTTCTAGTATCTATGTATATTTTAGAGGTGTAATAGCTGATTCTCATAAACCACTATTTGATTTTTGCTCGGCCCGTTGTATAGCATAAAGTTTACTGGTAAGATTAGAGATCCGCATTTTCTTGGCTATTGTGGTGCCTAGGGTAGGTCGGCCACGAATGATAATCTGGTGCGGATCGTAGGAAATCACCGCTTTTCACCGCCCGTGAATTAATGGATATTGACTCTACGCGGTGAACCAACACAGTCAAGGGTCCTCCATAGCCCGGAGTAAAGCTAAGTTATGTACCTACGGGTTATCGCATAGAGCCACTCCTCTATTAGTGAAAGGCTTATATCCAAAAATCTCTAAGGTAAACATCACCAGCCGCTTGCTTAATCCACTCGAGTAAAGGGACGGTGATTATAGTACGCGTGATATCTCTTAGATTTCTAACTTACGTTAGTCTAGATTTATATTAAGTCTCTGGTACTAGCACGCATTCATTAGTATACCGTGCTATTATTAAAAGGGTGGAGCTGCGTATCTATGGTAGTCCGCATTATGCTCAACAGATTTCTATACGAAATTTTGATCCTAATCGCGCATAAGGTAAGTTCTGTATTCGTAATAATGTATTCATTTAGGGGACTCACTATGATAAGTTACCTACCGCCAGCTAGTGCGCCCTTAGCTGAGCGTCCTTTAGACTGCACTTGGTGCTGATCCCACTGATCTATTGGAGCGTGATATTTCGTGCCGCGAGTGAGTGGGCCCTAAATGTTCTCGATATTGAGTCTTTCTTTCTCCACTATAGCCAATCCCTAGTAACTAGCTATCTTTAGTATATATAATATCTGGACATCTAGGCGCCTATATACCTTACCCGCTTTAACCGATATGCTTACTATAGTATCTTCCGCGCCGCGGGTTTATCGGGCTATTTATTAACGCTAGGGTCCACTAATAACGCGACGGCGTATGCGTAGTTCCTAGAAGACATTGCGGATTAGCTTTAGCGGGTAATTATGCACCTTAAGCCAGATAGCTTACGAACATTTTAGTTCGTATTAGCCCACTATCTCCTATCGACACTAAGACTAATAGCCTATAGGTGGCGACTAGGCACCTGCGTGCCAGCGGGACTTTTGGATCGAAAAGGTTATCTAACCCAGAACCAAAGGTGCTTACGACGTCTTTCACTTATGACTAATAGAACCTATCCCTCCGCCCAAAATGGTCTAGAAGGCCTCTCCGACCTACCCTACTTAATAACGTTAGAGTGGGAGGGACTTCAACATCTAATAGAGGTCCACTCGTTACGATGGTGTATTGATCGAAATAAGTAATACCTCCACACACTATCTATTGGGTTTATCTTTTCGGCCGTAGCGCAATCTTTACACTAGGAGGCCCTCGGGCTGCAGGGAAATGTGGAGGAGGCTTATATAGGGGACGAAAAGGAGTCCTTAGGCGTGGTGATTACTCCACACCTTAGAACGTTATCGCTTTCCAAAGTCTCTTTACCTACAGGCCTTACCTCAATAGGATCTACGATATTCTGCTCACTACGAGCGCTAACGTTACAAAACTACCCAAATTAGCTACGCCTCTTGCGTTCACTTTCGCGCTCTCCGACTCCGATGCAACTAAAGTTTTTTAAAGCATGTTTTAATTACCTACTTAATAAGCCCGGCGAGGACGGTGGCTTTACTCTTATTTCATAGTTCCTTTGCTCTTTCCGCGGGCTAGAACACCTATATCTACGACTATCAAATTATTTAGTCATAGACGTGCACATCTAAGATACTATTTAAGGCCATTCGCCTACTCTAAAAAGCGTTCTCTACCACAAACAATAGCTCCTATCGGTTAACGACGATGGTCTATTCGCGAGAGATCAAGATATATTACCGGGCTAGATTACGAACCTAGTCTCCATCGTGAATATGTAGTAGTTAATAGCCCTCGCGCTCTATACGGACCTATATATAGCAGTAAGTAATTAGATCCGAAGGTTAGACGTATGCTAACCGAAACAGCGACAATACCTATAGCCCATAGCCCGAAGGTCATAGCTATAGATCCTACATCTACGATTTAGTAGACCCGAGCGGATCTATCAGGACATACAATAAGAGATCTCGAGTGTGCTACGCAAGAGAAGGGTGCATCTAAGTCCTATGGATATAAGCATCGAGCTTTCTCTCCTCTCTTTGGATGCCGGACTAGGCTACTCTCATATCCTTAACGACCAAGATTCCCCACTCTTAGGATTATATAACGCTCGGGAGGATATCGATCAAGGTACGGCAACTGCTATAATAGTGACCGAGGCGGAAGATTTTATCTCATTCGCCAAATAGGCCTTTAGTAGCGATGGGCTTCTAGATTTATGAGTCCTTGCGATTAGAGACTTTTCTTATAGGGATCGGTACCGCTACTAGCAGTTTTTAGTGCGTCGCGTAAGCACTACCGTAGACTACTAATAACTAGGTCCACGAAATCTAAATTGCTAGGACTCGAGCCACCTTGATTTTTACCCTAGAGAAATCTCTAATCCTAATATTTAGCGAGGTATCTCTATGGATAGAGTTAGGTTTCTCTCTTTATGTCTAGAGGGTGGCCTGATGGAATCACCATACGAATTTTAGTGTCATCAGTCGCTACTCTATATACGAGATTAGTGGTCTAAATAAATTGATTTTAAATTTTCTAGTTCATGGAACTCTCTTTCATGATTCATCTTAGTAAGGCATTCAGTTAAAACTTTTAGGACTATATTTAGGGTCGTTAGAGTAGTAGGGATCAGGTAAACATCGCATGCTTAGTCCCCATGCAGTCCACTGAACAGGTATATAGTAGTG